AAAGATATAAATCACATAGAAGAATACCTGATAATATTATGGAAGAAATTGATAGAAATAATGAGTAAAAATCCTTTGTCACGTGATTTTTTTTAACTGTGTTTTTGTAATGAAAGTAATTAAAAAAATTTGAAAATTTTTCTTGAATTGATACATGGGCGCAGTAATTTGATGGCTTATGATGTTACACACTGTAAAATAGATTTTTTTATTTTAGTTAACATAATAATAATAAAAATACACAACTGTGTAGTCAAACCTGTTAACAGTAAATCCACCCCGTTAAACCAAATTTGTTAAACCAAATACTAACACTAATACTAATTTTAAACGGAATAACGGGGTTGACTGTGTGGTTTGTGGCCTAGTACTAGGCCCTATAAATTATTTTTTTTGAAATAATCGAATTTCAATTTAATAATAATAATAATAACAACATAGCAAAAATCAGAAAACATGAAAATTTTGCATGCATATTCTACAGGACCTAGGCTACAAGCCATATATACTTATTATGTGTGTTTTTGCATTATTGATTCTCTAAAATTTGCTGTAGTGTACCATTTGTTCTAATAAAATCTATTTGAATCTACTAAAACAAATAAACAAATGGATAAATTTACATTATTGTTATTCACACCCCTCCCATGATTAAGACAAAGATGAACCAATAAAATCATCACATTTTAAAGGCATTCATTGGTCACATTACTACACTTAGTCACGGGAGGGTGCGAATAACAATTCCCTAAATTTAATATATTAATATTAATATATAATAATAATAATTTAATAATTACACTTTACAGAAAAATGGACTATGAGCAAAACCTGTATTATATATGAAACAAAGGGTAAATAATGAAAAATTGATTTTAGAACCAGATGAATTTGATAGAATCCGAATCAGCATTAAAAGGTTTATTTAATCAACTTTATGCTGGAATAAATCCAAGGGATAAAGGTAATATGACTAACGAAAAAAACAAGAAAAGATTGGTTTTATTTTGTTGTTTTTTGGCAGGTTTAAATAAATGGAATTAAAGCTGAAATTGGATATACGTTGGAACATCATCCTCAGCAATTGGAACATTTGCAAGTGCAGGTATAAGTGTTAGGCGTGAGACAGTAATGAGACATAAAAAAAAACAAGAAAATGCTCATGATGATACAGTTAGTTCCTTTGTGCTAAAACATGTAAGAATATTGTATATGAACTTTCAATTTAGTTGTGGATCATATTTTGCATATTAATGATTTTATGATGATTAATCTTGATGATTACCATAACATCCATACTAAACAACATGGTGATACAACAACAACTTCAGATGTTCTTCATTTTCAAACCATCTTACTAAAAGCAGTTCCAGGTTTACCAGCAGTTCCATTTGATAACCCAAATAATGACAAGAATATCCATAATCCAAAAGGAATTGATGCAGATAAGTGTTAGGCGTGAGACAGTAATGAGACATAAAAAAAAACAAGAAAATGCTCATGATGATACAGTTAGTTCCTTTGTGCTAAAACATGTAAGAATATTGTATATGAACTTTCAATTTAGTTGTGGATCATATTTGCATATTAATTTTATTTAATATAGATGGATGATTTTATGATGATTAATCTTGATGATTACCATAACATCCATACTACTAAATGATGTGGCGATACAACAACAACTTCAGATGTTCTCCATTTTCAAACCATCTTACTAAAAGCAGTTCCAGGTTTACCAGCAGTTCCATTTGATAACCCACATAATGGCAAGAATATCCAACTTCTATATTCTCTTTGTTGTTGTATCCTATCATCATAATTATGCACCAACAACATTTCTACATGTTCTTCATGGTTTCTTGCCTCAGATAACTCTTTAGCAAAGACAAGCCTACGTTCATTATATGTTAACCAAAGATGAGGAAAAAACAATACCTGGAAATTTTCCATGATGAGCTCTGCATCATTCCTTTTGGATTATTATGAATAACACTAAGCTTGTAAATTTGGTTGAAGGAAGTTTACATTCTACAGAAGATTATATAAAAGCTTTAGAAAATTTATTTAATGTTCCAGAGTTGAAAACATATCCTGAAAGCTATGTACTTGCAGGATCATTTGATTACCCTGGACAGATTCATGGAAGGCATGCTGTTTCAGCTTCTTTTAATTTGACAAATATTCATCAACTCTCACCTCTCCTACAACATATTGTCCCAATGATTGGACCTTTACATGTCTCATTAAACAGTCATGAAACAGTTTTCAAATTGAACTATTCTTTTTTCAACAAATTGAATTGTTTTCTTTACCTAAAAAAGAGACCACTTGCAAATAAACCAAAGCCATACAAAATAAATGTATTGCTTGAATTGACTGCTTCTGGATGGAAACTAATCAGAGAAGAAGTATTGATTAAATTTTGTAACTGCAAGGACCCTGAGGAAAGGTATTTACTAGACCTTTTAGATAATATTATACCATTGGTTCTGAATTTTTATCCAGTTACATTTCGAAGTGGAAGTTGGTCTGCATACAGGGAAGCAATTTTTAGTGCTTGGGTGCTCTTTTATTGGTATGGTTGTAAAAATTATAACAAAGTGCCATTGGCATTTTTTAGTGATGTATTTTATTGGTTTACTACACATCATCCAATGGTACATACCATTGAACAAAATATTCACTTATTTAATGACTATTATGTTGAGAATTTCCATTCTTCATTATGCCTTCAAACAAATGCATCAAATTCAGCTGAACAAATTATACAACAAGCCAAAATCATTGATCAATCACATGGTTCT